TCCGGGCCCGGGCCCGGCAGCCCCAGCCCCGCGGTGCCCCCGGCCTGGCCTGGGCAGTCGGAGGGGGCGGCTAGGGGCAGGAGCGGGGGTCACCCCCCGCCCCCAGCACAGCACAGCCCCTGGCCGAGGCGGCAGCAGAGACCAGGCCACTGTCCCCCCGCTGGCGGGGTGCCAGAGGGGGCTGGGAGTCCCCGGGGTTGGTGACAGCAGAGGCCCCCCTGGAAAAACTTGCCCTGGGTCCAGCTGGAAACCCCCTCCCGGGGCGGGGTGGTCGGAAGGGCCAGAGGGACTTTCCTCCCTGCTCCTCACCTCCCCCACGAGCTCCTCTGCCCTGGCAAATCCTGGCCCAGCGGCTCCCACCTCCCATGGGGCCAGGGCACTGCCGCTGGGACTGTCACGGCCCAGACACCCTCGCCCCCACGGGGCTGGCACCGTGCCGAGCGGCACAGGGCCAGGGGCTGGCAACGCCTGGGGCTGTGCAGCAGCCCCCCACATCGGGCCTGGCTGAAGAAACGCTCTGGGGTCCCAGGAGCAGAATGGGGCCTGGCTGTGGTGCAGCTGCTCATGGGGTCTCCATAGCAGAGCTGGATGTGCGGGGAAGCACCTCCTGGTTCTGCCAGGGCTGGAGGCTGCTTCCCACTCGCCCCCAGGCTCCTGCTCAGGCTTAGCCGAGTGCTGAGTGGGAGAAGCCATCCTGGACACTTCATCTACTGCTGGGCCCAGAACGCAATTACTGCTGACTCAGGAGCTGCAGCTGCATCCCCACGCAGCAGCCGCAGAGCCAGGGTGATGGGCCCCCGGCCCCCGCAGCCCTCCGCTGACCCTGCCACTGGCAGGGAGCAAGGGCCGGATTTGGGCAGTACCTGGCCCAGCAGCACAGCTGCCCCCGCTCCCTGCCTGGCCCGCGGCCTCGGGTGGCCTCGCTCCCTTCCTCCGTTGGCCCTATGGCAGTGACGGGGTTGGCCCCAGAACCGGCCCCACAGCCGCACCTGGGGCTGCCCCACAGCTGTGCCACCATCTCCCCGCATTGCCCGGCCCCACGCTGGTTCCTTCCCACCTCATGGCTGGCAGGCTCAGCGCCAGTGCCCATGCCTGCCCCAGCTGCCCTGCCGGCCCCACAGCAGGGCTCAGCCCCCGGCGCAGGCCCGGTGCTGGCTGCGTGGGAGGAGAGCTGGCAGCCGGCGCTTCCTGCGTGCGCATCCCAGCTCCACGGGCTCCCAGAGACAGTGTTGACCCAACAGCTGTAGCAAAGCCAGAGCTGCGGCTGATGTGCTTAACCCCTTCTGGGGCTCCAGGAGTGGGGCTGGGGCGCGGGCACCGCCATGGCACCCACAGCTCGAGAGTGCTGCGGACCCTCTGCTGCCAGGCAGGGCCCAGGGCTGAGCCGAGCCGTGCCGCTTCGCTGCGGCACCGGGTGTGACCCCGCCACGAGCCCCCTCTGCCAGCCCCTCGAGTGGGAAGGCGCCACGAGGCCCGGCAGGACAGGCCTGCCCGAGCACGGTGCCCTCCTGCCCGCGGAGCCCCTGCCTGCACCGGCAGCCCGTGGTGCTGCCCGCCGGCACAGGGCTCGGCACCGCGCCGGGCTGAGCCGCCTTCC